TTTGATTAAGGCAGAAGATGCTGGTAAAATGAATTAATTTTTCATTTAGCCAAATGGACTGGAAGGACAAACAGAAGTTTAGTTGACTGTTACTCTTTAAGCCTCACATTAGCTGACATCTGATCTTCAGCTAGTACAGAGAAATGATGAGTATGTCCATTCGGTAGAATGAAGGAGTTACATTTAAAACGATTTATTTTATATTTACTTGATTACAGACTCTGAAATAAGGAATGCCATTGTAACATAACTCTACCAACCATTTTGGAATCTCATTTGCTGCCAGGAACAAATGAGGATCTTAATTTATTCAATTTCTTATGTCAGAATAGAAACTTCACGCAACCCAAAAAACCTTGTCTCATGTCTCCAAATGAGGATCTTAATTTATTCAATTTTTATGTCAGAATATAAACTCTACACAGCCCCAGAAACCTTTCCCGTGTCTCCCTCCCTTTCCCGTCATGCTTGTTCTTGTCTGCTAAGACCCCTCGTAGTGTGCAGACTCTACCTCGCACATGTACACACCCAAACACACACACACACACACACACACACACACACTCCTATCTCCATTCTCTGAGGACTCCCATCTGCTTCAGCCTTCACAGGTGCTAAAGGGTTAATTTATTTCTCATACCCCCAAGTAACATACCGGATTTCTTCAAATCTAAAACGACATTGATTTCAAGATGCTACATTTGTTTACGTACCATTAAAAAATTATAATGGCAAGAATCCAGAGATTGCTTATGTCCTAATTTTAAAGATGTTGAGAAATGATATAGTGTGAGCCTTGCAATCAATGAAATGTATTTAAATTTTGAAGGGAGCCTTTTGGAGGCAATACCTTGGTGACTCCAATGGTAGAGTGTCAGGGATCTTGGCAGACTCCCGGGGGAGGGGTTTGGAGTCAGTTGATGACTCTGCTGTCACATAGTCACATCATGTAGAAGGCCGCTTATCTCACAGCTCCAGTGGGACTGGCTCTAGGTGTGAAGATCCTATATATAACAAAGTGAAACATACACAAAAAAACGTGCAAGAAGAGGTGTAGACCTGGCTCTAGGAAATTCACGGATGTCCTGTGATGCTGCACAAATCTCATTGACCAGAGAAGCCTGTTACACGCATATTCTGAGAACAGCCTGTCGTGAGTCTCCTTGCCTAGGCTCTGGGCTGAGGTGACTTGAGTTCTAATTTTTGTTTTGCTGTTCTCTAGCCCAGGGGCCACGTGTCTAGGTGGGTGGTGGTTTTTGCCCTTTGTCCTCAAAGTTAGAGTTCCTCAGGGGAGGCAAAAGACCATGGGCCTTGGGCTTCAATCAGGATAGCTCCACTTTCATGTCTTGGATGTTGTACGTTTGTGATTTCCTATTTTTTTTTTTTTAAAAAAAGGTTTCTCTGTTAAAGGAAAGCTTGAAACCCATTGATTCAGATGAACTTTATACTTTCCTTCACTGCTAAAATTCTCAGATTTATTATTTCACTTTAAAAAGGTTGATTATAGAGAAATATTAGATGCTGTCTTCTTTCATAGTGGCATCGAGACAGGAGGGCCGAGGGTTATTCACGTGAGAGGCTGTTCTGTTCTAACTGCTTCCTCCTCGCTGCTCCTGCTGAGGCCTCACCCGTAAGTGAACCCTTGGGAACGAAGTAGATTTGCCCAGTGTCTGGTCTCCTATTGCTGCTGTAACAAATTACCACAAATTAAATGGCTTAAAACCAAATGTATTATTTTACAGTTTTTTAGGCTAGAAATCTGACATAGGCTAGAATAAAGATGTCTGCCGGGCTGCACTTCTTTCTGGAGGTTCTAGGGAAGAATCCATTTCCTTGCCTTTCACACTTTCTGGAGGCCACTCTTATTCCTTGGTTTATGGCTCCTTCCTCCATCTCCTCCGGCAATGGTGAGTGAGTACCTTTCACATCTCCCTGGCTGTCTTCCACAGTCACATCTCACTCTGATTCTCTTCCGCCTCCCTCTTCCACGTCTAGGGATCCTTGTAATTACATTGAGCCTGTTAAATTCAGTATAATCTTCCTATTTTAAGATCACTTGATTATCAGTCTTTTCTATCTGCAATCCTAATTTCCCTATGCCATGGAATTATCATATTCACGGGTTCTGGGGATTAGGACAAAACCCTCTTTGGAGGCCACTATTCTGTCTTCCACACCTAGAAATAGGAGTTGTGGTGTGACAGGGCTTGTGAGAATCAGAAGAAAAGAAGTGACACAAAACAAGCTTCAAAGCTGTAAGCTAGCCCATTTTGAGTTGTGATCTTATCCCCATGTTATTGCTAGATAATGCTTATTAAACAGGGAGTAGCACATAAATATTTCATGTGGGATTTGTATCACAGGTTGAGTTTCCCAGAAGCAGACCCAGAGATGGAAACTTCCACGAATGACATTTATTAGGAGTACCCTTGGGATCAACGCCTTTGGAATAGAAGGAAAGTGAGAAACGATTTGGGCAGAGAGAGAAATTGGGCTGCAAAGCAGTCTCAACATAGGCCTTCGATGACCCCACTGGGAACTTTGAAGGCGGGGTGAGGGTGCCATACCTCATTGGGTGTGGGCTGCTCCAGGAAGGGGTGTGGGGGATGACCTTGAGAGAGGCACCACTCTTCAGCTAAGGCACTTCCTGGAGAGATCTGTCTGCCAGCAAATCCCCAGCAGCTTGAGGGAATAAGTTCACCGGTTCTAAAAAGAAGTCTGGGTGGTGCATCCCAATGCCCACTACAAAAGGACTCTAGTATAGTGTGCTCATCAGTGAGCTGGAGAGAACTGTCCAAGGCGTGGGTCCTAGAGCAGAGAAACGGTGGGTAGGAAATGTAGGGATTTGCCCAGACAGGCAAAGAATTGATTCGGAAGGGATATTTTTCTTCTTCTACCCATAACCCCAGTCCCTGCAGAACTCTGAGGCTCCCTACCCATAGGGAGACAGCCTGCCTGCTGGTCACCTCCTACTCATCACTGGAATCACAGACAGGACAAGTGGTGGCAACACTGGCCTGAAGATTCTGGACAGTGAATAGATTTACACAGAGTGAACAAGAAGCTGGGCTGAGTTTGACTTGATCTCTCACCCCAGAAACCCACACGCTGACAGCAGAGTCAATTCTGCGGTATTTATGTGTCTTGGTGGCTGCTGCTTATGGTGGCTATTTCCCATGATCACATCTCATTATTCTTTATTACCTTGTCCTCTGAAGGAGGAAGGATATCATCATCAATATTCTGTGAATTCCTAAATTATTTCACTTTTTTCAGATGAACTCTCCCCCCAGCCTTGTGACCTTTGGCGTCCTGCAGAACTCTACAGAGAGGCTGGGAGTCTAGGTTCACCTCAAGTGAACGCAGAATAAGTGGCTCCCCCACTCAGGGTCACCAGAAAAATCCTAACCCATGAGAACCTTCCTACCCTGTTTTCTGATGTCTGAAGGCCCACCATTAGGGCACAACATTTTCAACTGCAAGCTCTGATCCCAATTAAATGTAGACACTCTCAGAAAGGGTCACTATCTCTCAGGCACATTTGAGATGTTTTCCTGGGGAAAAAAAATGGGATATTTAAGTAGTAATGTTCCAAATACCAAAACCTCCCTAAGTCACCGTGAAAAGCCATTTGGCAATAATACCAAAAGCTTTTAAATGTTCACACTCTGACCTAGCAGTTTCACTCCTGTGAATATAACCTAAGGAAACTGATCTCATTACTGACAGGACTTTATACACAAGAATGGGCCAGGAGTGTAATCCCAGCACTTTGGGACTTCAAGGTGGGAGGATCACTTTAGGTGATCGCACATACTAACCTGAAACCAGGGTTGTTGGCTCACGCCTGTAATCCCAGCACTTTGGGACGTCAAGGGGGAGGGGGTGGATCACCTTAAGTCAGGAGTTCGAGACCAGCCTGGCCAACATGGTGAAACTCTGTACTAAAAGTACAAAAATTAGCCAGGCGTGGTGGCGGGTGCCTGTAATCCCAGTTACTCAGGAGGCTGAGGCAGGAGGATCGCTTGAACCCGGGAGGCGGAGGTTACAGGGAGCCGATATCACGCCACTGCACTCCGGTCTGGGCGACAAGGGGGAGACAGTCTCAAAAAAAAAAAAAAAAAAAAAAAAATCAGATCATAGAAAATAATTTATAATGGTGAAGCTTTGGAAACCACTTAAACATTTGCAAGATGCTCAAAGAAGCGACAGCATACCAACCCCATTTTTTAAAGTTCTGCCATTAAAAATTATAGGCAGGAAGCGTTTGTAATAACACGGTGAAAATGTTTATGTTACAGAGTGGAAAACAACCCTGGATTCAGGTTACTATGCATGTGCGTTTTACCACAGCTGTGCAGAAACAAATCCATACAGACGGACATAGAATGAAGTGAAACACATGCAAATGGAAATCATACTGTCCTTAAGGGCCGAATCGGAACCACCCTATTAAAGTCATTGATCATCATTCGTATTTTAAAAATGCCTTGTGATGGCTGCAGTATTTCTGTAACGAATGTTTTTTTTGTTTGTTTGTTTGGTTTTTTTTGAGACGGAGTTTCACTCTTGTTACCCAGGCTGGAGTGCAATGGCGCGATCTCGGCTCACCGCAACCTCCGCCTCCTGGGTTCAGGCAATTCTCCTGCCTCAGCCTTTTGAGTAGCTGGAATTACAGGCACGCGCCACCATGCCCAGCTAATTTTTTGTATTTTTAGTAGAGACGGGGTTTCACCATGTGGACCAGGATGGTCTCGATCTCTTGACGTCGTCACGGAGCCCTACACTGGCCGACGCGTGGGTGGGAGATCGGAGCCGCGCGCACGCTCAGGTGGCAGCCCAGGTGGCAGCCCAGGCTACCGGCGGGGGACCCTCGGCTGTCCCTGCAGGCGGAGGCTGGGCCGGGTTTGGAGGCGTCACTCAGCCTCAGGCCCGGGACCCGCCGCGAAGCGCCGCCTCCGCGGGTTGATCCTCGGCGGCCGCCGTAGCGCGGAGACGAATCCGCGCGCCCCCAGACGCCATGCGCGCGGCGTGTGGCTCCCACCTGAGCCGCGCATCCTCGGGGCCGGGGCCTGGCCTCCCCGCCTGCGAGAGGGCTCTGTGACAGTGCCCAGCTCGTGGGCCGTGTGGGGGCCGAGTGACGTCGTGCATTTGCGGTAAGAAAGTGCCCATCACGGTGCCCGATCCTAATGCGGGCTGCCAGCCTGAGGACAGAGGCACAGCCCCGGCCCAAAGGCCGGTTTCCAGGTGACCAGTCAGAGACCGGACGAAAAGGCCCCGGTCCACTCTGCTGCACGGAGCAGGGGGCAGTGTGGACGGCGGAGAGGTCTGAAGTCCCTTTAGATGGAGGATGGTGCTGCAGGTTGATAAAAGGGTCAAATGAGATGATATCTAAAGGGATTCGCACGGCAGCTGGGGCTAAAATAAATCATTTTCTCTACTGCCACCGCCCTTATAACCAGACGCCTGCAACAGCCTGCGGGTACGTCCCCTCCTTTGTAAACTGGAGTTAGTAGGTGTGTTGTAAGGATTGAGAAAACATTCAGAGGAAGAACCTGGCGTTTAACTAGGATTCAGGAAATGGTAGCAATTCTTTCTTCACCAGGTGATGGACAGGCTGCACTGTGGTGGGCACATACCCTTAGCACCGATTCTTGTGAGTGCAGGTAAAGAGCGAGAGGAGACATACTGTGTAAGTCGAAGGAGCCAGCGGTATCCAGGCAGCCCCCACACCTCAACAGTACTGTACCAGGGCCCTCTTCAGTGAACGAATCTCCTCTTTGGCCTGTTTGCTGTCTGTTTGCATTTGCTGCATCCATCAGTTCCCAAACCTGGTCTCTAAAGCCAGGAGCTCAAGGACACTTGTCCCAATCCTAGAAAACAAGTGCAGCATACACCATGAGCAGCACCCCTAAAAGCCAACCCTACTGGCAGTACAGGCCCTACAACCCCTAGGTAAGTGGCACACTCTAAGCTTCTTGCAAACAGCTAACTCAAGGCCTGACTAGCTTACTCCTGTCTCCTCTCTTCAGGAAATCAGACTTTGTAAAGTAAGAGAAAAGAAAATTGACGTAAATCCATTCCACTGTCTAATGAAATGTGTTTCACTTGTGTTTAAAGTGAATTGTTGGCTGGCGTGGAGGCTCATGCCTGTAATCCCCAACACTTTGGGAGGCCAAGGCAGGCAGATTTTTTGTAGAGACGGGATTTTTCCATGTTGCTAGCCTAGTTTCAAACTGTGAACTAGGCTAGCAACATGGAAAAATCCCGTCTCTACAAAAAAATACAAAAATTAGCAGGACGTGATGGCACATGCCCGTAGTCCCAACTGCTCCAGAGGCTGAGGCAGGAGGATGGCTTGAGCCTGGGAGGTCGAGGCTGCAGTGAGCTGTAATCATGCCAGTGCACTCCAGTCTGGGTGACAGAGTCAGATCCTGTCTCAAAAAAAAAAAAAAAGTGAATTGTAGGACCAGCTACATTTATAGAGCCCTTTCTCTTTATAGTCATGGTACCGAACTCTCTGATCTCATTTAATCCTCACAACCACCCCTCACAATGCTCTTTCCATTTTACATATTGGAAAACTAAGACTGAAGTTAAGAGTAGCTTGTTGAAGGTCACAGCTAGTAAACTGCAGAGAACCAGAATGTGAATCTGGGTTGATCCTGACTCTAAACAGTTTGCTCTTAACAACTGTACTCCTTTGAAAATGTTGACCCTTATTTTCTTCATTAAGTAAAATGCTTTCTGTATCTTAATTTTCCGAACCTCTAATAAAACATTTTGCAGAACATATTTTCTGAGTATCCCCCATCCTCCCAAACCAGGCTTCTTTCCCTCACCTTTTAGTCAGCGCAAACACATAATAGATGCATGCTGAATTTGTGAGCTTGACATGACAGGCTTTGGTTAGGGAATTCAGCTACAAGCAGCCAAACTCTCAGAGCCAAAGCCAGGGGTGCTAGGAGCCCTGGCCCTCCAGTGGCACTGTGATATGGCCTCTGTGTCCTGCCTCAGAGGCCTTTCCATCCCTACAGTTACTGGGACAGAATATCCTATGCTTTCACCCTTATGTGGCTCCAGATGTAGGATTTCATTTTTTAAAAACCTGCAGTACTGCAGCAGAAATGTAGTTATGAGTCAGGGATGTGTGTGTGTGTGTGTGTGCGCGCGCGCGTGTGTGTGTGTGTGTATTTGTGTGTGAAAGCCAGTCTCTCAGCACCAGCTAAAAATGTGAAACCGCAAGTCTGTGCTGGGAATTGAGGACACCATATGCTTACATTTCTAGGTCTTCCTAAGAGTTATATAACTGCCCCCAAAGCCAGGGGGCAGGAGCAGGGCCAGCCGTGGGAGACGTTTCCAAAGAGGAATGCTGAGGAAGGACTGACCTTGAGGAGACAGGGAGTTTGCCAGGCTGTGGAATGTTCCCAGCCTTGGGGCTTAAACAAAAACTGTATTCAGAGGGTGAGTGCTCTGTTGAGAACAAACCCTGTCTGTCTCCCTGCTTTGTCTTGGGGGCTTATCAAGGTGACCCCTTTCTCTGCAGGTGCTGGATATTGAATTTAAAGGTGGGTGCAGCTGCCAGAGCAGGGCCGTAGTAATCCTCCCAGCCATCTCTAATTAGCAGACTTCAGGGCCCACAGTGTTCTGAGGGTCAGGCAGAGGGGAGATAAGAGCTCTCATCTATTCATAGAATAAGGCGGCAGAAAGGCACCCTGGGAGGGAATACAACCAATCAACAAAGGTTTATCAAGGGCTCACTCTGTGGTCACCCTTCGGGGAGGGAGGTATCTGATTGGCCCCATCCTGCTGAGGGCTTCTGCACAGTATTCTTTCCTAGAAAACACCCCCACCCCCCACCATTCTTGCTCCCTGCTCCAGATCTTCCTTGACTAAAGCCTGTTATTCTTATAGGCCTCAGTTCAGAGGCCTGAGACCTAGAGCAATGTTTTTCAAACTGTGGGTCATGACCCATTGGTAGTTTCTGTAATTAATTTAACAGGTTACATCGAGCATTACCGTCCCCTATACCCTCCCAAAAAACAAAAACAAAATGAACAAAGGAAATAGAAAAGAGGCTATCTGAGCACATTAGACACCATGAAGTTAAGTGTTGTTTCAGTTATGTGTATGCTGGATCGTGATATAAAAAAAATTCTTGCTGGTGACTGTGATTAAAAAAAAAAAAAAAAGATTCAAAAACCCCTGACTTAAAGGCTGTATCTGGCCATATCCTTCTCACTGCAGGTGTCAGAAACCCTGGCTCAATCTAACTTAGATGTGGAGGACATTTATTATCTCACTTAAAGGGAAGTCTAGAGGTGGTACCGGCTCTATGGTGGTTGATACAGTGTCTATACTCTGCCACCAACCGTACCATGCCTTCATGGTTGGTTTTATCCTCAGACTGGTAGTAAGATAGTTACAGACGCTTCGTGTCATATCCAGAGAACCTCAGGGTGGAGAGACAGAGACTGGATCTTCTTGTGTGTCTGAAGAGTGAAGAAATTTTTTCTGGAAGCCCTCTGGCTTGAATTCACTATCTCAGTAGAGAATTGGTCACAGCTCTATTCCTACCATCACTGGCAATGGGGGTTTAGGAGTCCCATGAGTAGGTAAGACTGAGCAGGAAATCCCCCTGGAGCTGAAGAGGAGAGAGAAAGGTGCATACAAAAGTGATCAAAGTAGGACCAAATTGAAACCGGGCGCGGTGGCTCAAGCCTGTAATCCCAGCACTTTGGGAGGCCGAGGCAGGTGGATCACGAGGTCAAGAGATCGAGACCATCCTGGTCAACATGGTGTCTCTACTAAAAATACATGTCTCTACTAAAAATACAAAAAAAAAGTTAGCTGGGCATGGTGGTGCGTGCCTGTAATCCCAGCTACTCAGGAGGCTGAGACAGGAGAATTGCTTGAACCCAGGAGGCGGAGGTTGCGGTGAGCCGAGATCGCGCCATTGCACTCCAGCCTGGGTAACAAGAGCAAAACTCCGTCTCAAAAAAAAAAAAAAAAAAAAAAGTAGGACCAAATGACAGAATGGGAGAAGATGCTTGCAATATCTAAAACTGACTAATATCTAGAATACACAGGAATTCCTACAAATCAGGAAAAAGACAGCGGTCCCATAGAAGAAATGTGTAAAAGATATGAACATGCAATTTATAGAAGAATTAACCCTAAAACCTTATAAAATACGATAAAATGCTCAAAATCATTGATAATCATCAAAAATGTGAATTTAAATGAGACTACGTGCATTAGACTGAAAACAGTTATTAATAGAAAACTGTGAGGTCTGAGAAAAGTGAAATAAAAAAAAAAAAAGGAAAAAAAGCCAGGTGGATAATTCCAGTGATTGGCAGGCTGTGAGGTGATGGGAACCTCACGCTGCTGGTGAGACTGGACTGGTACAGCCATTCTGGAGGGCAGTCTGGTCTTCTTGGTGAAATGATGTCAATGAATATATCATGTGACCCACAGTTCTGCCCCGGGGGAAGTTCTCACAAAAGCCCTGAGAAGACCTGTATAAGGATGTTCCCGCAGTCTGATTGGTGGTGGAAGGGAGTTGCCCACCACCTGAGTGTCAGTTATTGTGAAAAAGAATAGGTCAGATATGGTGCATGCATACGACAAAGTACTGTGCAGCAGTTAGAAGTAATGGAGTACTCATAGCAAAAAAAAAAAAAAATCCGGTGGTTGTGAATTTTTTTGAAAGGTCATTTTCTGTTGATGCATACTGAGATGTATAATGGGTGAAACAATGTCTGGGATTGTCTTAAAATGCTTCGGAAAGAAAGAAGTAGGGATGGAAGGGAGAGACTAGATAAAACACAATTGGCAAAATGTTGGTAAAATCGTTTAAACTAGGTGATGGCTATATGGAGGTTTGTGATATTATTATCTCTACTTCTGTGCACCTTAGAGAATTTTCATGATAAAAATTTAAACACACAATACCCATGTTGCAAGAACACATTGAACTAAAAAGATGAACATTAAAATGGTTGGTTACTTTTTAGGAGAAGGAAGGAGAGCTGAGTGTGGTGTAAAAAAGTGAAGAGTGCTGGTTTTGGACATACATATGCTGCAATTGGAACCACACAGATGACCATGATTCCTGTGCAAGGGTGCCATGCAGATTCACGAAGTGTTCCAT